TGAAAACATTTCGATCACATCTATTCTTCGCTATTAAAATGCTGCTATCATAATTTTACACGAAAGCGAAACCTAGAAACCTCCTCACCCTAAAACAGCAATATACAAACTACGATCCCATAACCCTCCCTGCGCCTTGCACCCGTCTTCAACCCTCCGATATGTGCCGGCAAAATAAGAGTTTACGTCAATGAATATTATCACAAATTACATTTTCTGTGATGTATTATCCTTAGAAACGTTGCATGGTGCGAACAAGCAAAACATCCCACGCTATCAAACACAGGACGTTGCTCTGCAGTTTTTCAAGAGTTTCAAGCTCCTGGATCGCAAGGAATCCGTTTCCTTTTGTCTGTACCCCCTTAAAACTTCCTCGATCTTGGGGCTAATATTGACTACTTATATTGACATCGTGGTTTGGTGATTAGTCAATATGACCGCAGAACAAAAAATAGAGAACCCAATTTAACTGAAAATTTTCGTTTAGGAGTCTCATTGATTTATCAATAAAATTTCGTGACTTGCCACAAAGATTCCTTTGACTAAACCGAGAGCCGGATCTGGGCATTTCAACTTAAATTCGTTTTAGACAATCAACCACTAGCCATGTGAATGACATTTCAACCCATAACTGTGACACGGGGGCTTGGAATTTTTTTAGCAACACTGAACCAGCTAAATAAAGATATTACGAACTCACAGAAAAACCTTTAACATGTGTTAATTGTTAGGCTTCTTAATCTGGATGAGAACCTTCTTGAGTTTATTCATTAATAATGAATTGTTCGAAAGTGGTAGTAGAGGTGAGAGCCACTATTATTAAGTAGAACACCTCGCTAACCATAGGCAGTGGAACTCTCTCAAAACCCACCTGCGGTTTCCATACCGACAACTTATTTGGTAAACTTTCATACCAACTCATTAAAGGAATATTTCATACATCGACTAACCATAGGCAGTGGAACTCTCTCAAAACCCACCTGCGGTTTCCATACCGACAACTTATTTGGTAAACTTTCATACCAACTCATTAAGGCAATATTTCATACATCGTCTCAGATCTCTAAAAGACGTTAGGGAACCACACACTCCGTCTTTCCACCGCTTCTGGTTTTGATGTGGTTCGAAAATGCATACTGGATTTTGTAAGATCTGCCGCACAAACTTGCAGAAAGGAATCAGAGCAGTTTTCTGAAAAAATTAAAGAAAATTGATATCTGAATAAGCGAACATGCTCAAAACACAGACTAAAGATACAGAAGAAGTGAAGAAATGTATCCTGTTCTGAGTTTCATAACAGAAAGTTTTATGCCAAAAAGGTTTTCGGACGTTTTTCTAAGGTTGATGCCTTCGTGACGGTCTACCGTCTCCAAAACGAAACTCAGACCAAACACAGTTTTAGCGCTACTTTTTAGTAACAGAAACGAAAAATATTGATTTTAAGATGTACTCTCACAATCTCAACCAGAAACTGGTTTTTTTGAAGACAAAGAGCGGAAGCGATTCAGCAAAAAAACCCTCGAACTTCCTCCGACTTCAATTGGCTTAGCTTCCTGTGAATCGAACCTCGCTGAATTTTCTTCCGGTTTTCATCGCAATTGCGATGGTCTGAAAACTGGCACAAATCCCAACAATCTTAAACACTTCTAGAAACTAGCTAAGAAACTACTAGATTAAAAGAAAGCGGATAGGTTAGAGTGAGTATTTGAAGGGAGCATTGGATGTAAGCGGATTGCGGTTAAAGATGGTTGATATTCAGTGTTTTAGGGAATCGACGTAATGACACATGAATGCGCTTATACATTTTTAGCATACACGTAGTGATTTTCCACGCGCTCCCACGCTGACGAAGCGCGCGAGTTTTACAGGTGGGAGAATTTTGATCCTTTTCGCAGGGGCGTGAAAAAAGGTTCATATAGACCTAACGTGAAGGCCTATCAGAGGATGCTTCGCTGTTCCAATGATTTGTCAAGATTAACAAGTCAAAGCTGAAACCTTTTGACGCAATCGCACCAAGAAGCCTGCTAGTAGATCCGCAGGACGTGCGTTTTTCCGCCTACGGTAAGATTTGGGACGAGTCGGGGAGAGATTTGCCAAGGATCTGGCACTAATTATGTCCTAGACCCCCTGCAGATCTCTCGCATAAGTGCAACGGTACACTCGCTGGCTCCCGTCGCTCAAGGCCTCATACTCAGTTCCCGCGGGCAAAGTAACGCTCGAGCCCAATCTTTTTTGATGAGAGCACACAATTTCCCCTAAACCATCCAAGACACATGAAAACCTATGTACTCATTCTGTTCTCGAGTGACTCAAAACAAAGAAACAACACCAAAAAAAAGCATCATATAATCATGGCTTGGGCAATGACAGATATAAAACAAGAAAAATAATCTTTAAAGCTTCTTACAACGAGGGATATCCCTATTTTAGCATTCGTTAAATCCAAAGGAGGGTTATTTCGACAAAAAGTGGAGACATACTCCTTTCAATATCTATTTCTTTTAATATATGACTGAAGGTTTAAAGGAAACACGTGAAAAGGAAATGTTTTACGGGATGTAGCGTCCTAAGAATACTGAAGCGTCTGCGTTTTCAAAGCTTTCGAGACAAGCACAATATCGATGAACACTATTTATTATACAATAATGATGTAATAATAATAATAATAATAATAATAATAATAATGGACAGTTACTCCACAAGCGTGCGTTTGATATAAGACGATAGATTATTTTATCATAATTATTATTATCATCATTCAGTATAATTAGGGAAATGACTGCAATTAGCAGACACTGTAAGTCTCCTATGTTGGGGTTATAACTTGCCATGGCTAAGATGACGTGTGAACCTACCATTTTATTTGTCAACAGTGTTTGAACTAAGTTCATTTCTTTTTCGTAAACAGAAGGACCCGTGGACCTTAACAGATGGCAAACTCATCCAAGGAAGGAAGAACAAATTCTGGAAATGCTCATCAAGTCGAATCTTATAACGAAGACTTTAATTGAACAGACATAATTCCTGATCGAGTTGCTAATATCAGCGATGTCAACTTCGCTTGGTATGTTTTGAAATTGAGTTCTTCAATGCAGAGCATCACGTTTTCAATTATCTTCAACTTCAGTTTGAAATATTGATGAAAATATTCGAGACACGAAGGTCGCGGAGACACGACAGAATGATTGACAACCATAGTTGCTTAATTACGAATATCAGCATTAAAATTCCGTGAAAATATTTATCGAGAGGCTAATAAGAGCATTATCGATTTTTTCAATCTGCTATGGTAAGAATACCTTATTAATGATAGGGCTGAGAACAAGATTCACTTAAATGGTTTTTCCACAAGCTTACTCCTTCTCTACTTGCACAGAAACACATTTCCTGCGTAAAATCAGACCCAAAACTGAATTCCTTCGCCGATATTTTGAGGAACAATCGAGAATACAAGAAAATATTTGTGTACAAGCCAAAGGCGCGGATTAATATTGTTTGCTTTTTAATCACTACAATATAACATCAATGGAACCTTTAATCCACAAAAAATTCCCTTCTTATCGAACCGTTAATCACTGTAAGCCACAAATCGGCTAGGATTTCATTCTGCTAATTGTTTAACAGAAAATTGATCGCAATAAGGCAATAATCCGGATAAGCGGACGCTGAGGATTTCCTCCAAGTTATTATCTTCCAGAGTAAACAGAATGTTTGAAATTACTGAAAAAAAATTCTTCCACGCACAAGACGAGTGCTGGTTAGATTGGTTATCACATGCGTGCTTTGAATTTAAACAAAACTTTAGATTTGAAGCCTCATACAAACATTTGAACCAAATGAAGTCAACAGTGCATAATAGACTAAAACCAATTTAAAAAAGCTAAAACACGTGTTAAAGCAGTTTTGTCAAATGTGACTTGAAATTGTTTTCTTGATGATAGAATCTGCTTAAAATGATGTTTGGGACTTCAAATTTAGCTCAATGCAAATAAAGTTAGCTATTACTTAGTGCCGTGTAAAATCTAGTCTTTCAGTTTTCATCTAGTTAAAATTGGTTCAACCAAACCTCTTTTACTGGTGCGGATGGGACATAAGATTGGTGGCATTATCTTTCGTGTTTATGACAATGTTTCAGGTGTTATTTAAACATATACACCCAAATATCAGTATCCTTATTCTCCCCACTCCTCTCTCTACATTTCCTTTGATACTAACAAGGAGAATTCGTTTAACGATCAAAGCATTTTATGTTTGCGATCATGTCCTTCATTTTCATGATCTTAACCCTTTAACCCCAGAGTGATTAGCATCTAATTTCTCCCAACAGTATAACCCCTGCATCACACAGTAAGGTCATGAGAATAAAGGAAATGATCACCAAACAGAGAAGCTCTTGATTGTTAAACAAATTCTCCTTGTCAGCACCTTAGGTAAGGTATAGAAAACAGTATGGAGAATATGCATACTGATATTAGGGTGTAAAGGGTTAATGAATGATTCAGCAGTATTTCTGTAAGGAGAAATGAGATGCTGGTCACTCGTAAGGTTGAAAGGGTTTGGTTATTCGATTTTCATTAAGGTCTTGCTTAAAGAAAACCAAGAATGCATCGATGATTTTATTTTATGCTGTACTTTATTTTTCTTTTCACAGTTCTTTTGCAACTATCATTATATTCGTGCGCGAAAAACAGGAAATCTCACATGAATTTAAACATTATCCCACCAGCATCAACCGCAGGACTCTGAAATCGCTTTCAAATTCTTGTGGCCGTACCAATGTCAAATTATGGCAGATAGTTGAAGATGAGCTTACGACATTATTACACGTAAAATCTTGACCGCAATCCCGCGCAAGACGGTCGCTTTTCTGTCTCCTGTTTTCTCAGAATCGACGCGAAAAAATAAGTGGTCAAACAGATTTCACCAGAAAGTACATTGAATTTAAATTGATGGATACTGTCCGTAAACGAACCTCTCTTTTTTTAAGGAACTGGGAAAAGCGTGACTGCCGAAAACAACTAAATTAACCCCATAAGATATTTCCCTGACGTACAAAATCAATCATCTTCAATGATCGCACCAGAGACATTTGAGTCAACCAAGAACTGACGGATTTAATGGCCTGGGTAGTTCTGCTTTGGCCACCACTGTATAGTCACTATAGTACTTTAAAACTGACGATAAAGCTTCCTTATCTAACTTATAATGCTCCGCAAGTTTGTATTTGGTCCACTCGTCAGGATCCTCTAATCTCTTCGCAAAAAGTTCTGATAATTGGACTGAGGTTATTTTCCCTTTCGGCACCACGCCCACCTGACGGGACATCGACGACTCGCGGGATATAGGTAATTTTCTGTTTGTCTCCTGCTCTCCACTGATTGGCTGAAACAGGCGCCAAGAGTGATTGGTTAGATGGTCCATCAGAGACTTACAGGTGGGAAGTTAGCATTCACATGATGAGTACCAGACAAAGGGCAAATTGATAGGTGTCACTCTGTATTTTGCAGTATTGTAGGAGTCCTTTGTTATGATATTTGCCCTAAACTTTCTATCTCACACAGCAGTGAAAAAAATGTTTGTGTTTACAGTTCCATCTATTAATCCGATTAATACATCCATGGTGAATCAAGAGATTGTAATTCAAAACTGGCTATTGTCTATGTTCTGAACTTAGACTTGCCAAACTTTATGTTTGCTGTTTAGACTGCAAGCTGTATCCACCAGGCTACTCTTAAATTTCCACCAAATTCTCAAGTCAATCTTAATACTCCACTTCTACAAAAATTTCAATCATCCTACATCATCTCCCTAAAAACTAGTGAAATGTTATAAAAATTTCTTCCTCTGTACCCTGCTGATTGTGGTCACATCACAAATGATTAAGAAAAAAACTAATAAAAAATAAAAATTAAAGTACCACAGAGTTATCACCATGGTCCTCTTTCTTTCTCCAAAGAGATCGGGTTATAAATAATGTTTATGTCAGGAACACACAGCTCTAACAGGTATGAGTTATCAAAATTGATACTGATGGTACTTAATACTCTTCACTACCTATGAAAGTCTATGGGTGTTGGTACAGACCAATCTTGAATTAACCCTTTAACTCCCTGATCAAATTTGTAACTCTCCTTAATATCAACCCTACAATAATTATTCTTATAATGTTAGTTCAGAGAATTTAGTATTGGATCAACTAATTGTCCCCAAATTGATATTTTTATTTATTCTCATCACTTCTTTGGTTGATATTGTATAGATATTGTAAGGAGAAATTCTGTCTTGGTCACTCATGGGAGTTAAAGGGTTAAAAAATTCTCTCTCCAATTTCATACCTTCCCTTCCTGAGCATCCATTATTTTGAAATCTCTCAGTCTGCCTAGAAGGATGTCATCTTTTCTGTCTCTTTCTTTAAACAGCTCCTCATTATCTACAGACCAACACTGATTTATCAGGAAGTTTAAAGAACTTTTTCTATTAGCTGCTGCAGAAAGTGTAATAGATGGCTTGCCGTAAAAGGAGCTGTTAGGTAAGACCCAAAAAAGAGAGCCTGCTCACAAGCTAAACAGACTGTGGTAAGAGGTCTCATAGGAGGCAAAAGACTGCTAGTAACCAGTTTCTATGAAACCCCTGGATTAATACACTTAATTTTTAACACTACCCAGCTGAACAGGCACATAAAATGTGGATCATTTCTGTGAAACAGAAACAGGATTTTCTTATTACAGCCAGACTTTTAAGGAGCAGATCACATTAACTTTTACTCCAGTTAAAGATTGTACAGAAATCAACAAACCATGCTCTATGCTTCTTCCTTTTTACAAGATCTCTCCCCCTTTCCCCCTCCAAAAGAAAAAAAGAAGATTGTGTTGATGTTGTAATTTTTTGATATGTCATCTTGAAGGACATTGGATTACATGGGTTTAATCCTGTGATTTTCAGTTTAAGGGCATTGGGATGAAGTGAGTGATAAGAAGAGAAATAGGGGTGAGGGATATGTTTTAAAGTCAAAAACTACCATTCAATCTGCAGAGAACAACAAATGCCTGAATGAGTTTAGTCTTAAAAGGTTGCTACACTTAGAGTCAAAATGGCTTTGCATGAGTAAGATCTAGTTGATTTCTGCCATTCTCTACAGATTGGATCTTCAGATTTCAGGTATCCAGACTCTTTCGTAGGATGGACGCAATCGCAAGATACTGTTCCTTTATTGATTCACCTTAGAAGGAGTTGATTGCATTATTTGATTTAAATATGAAAAGAGCTAAATCTCTGTACAATTGTACATTCACACATCAACATCAAACTTTCATGCCGTTAAAGGTCGAGATTTAGGAATGTTTTGCAATCACCCCACACTTTCTCTCAGAATACTCACGTTTTTGTGCATTAGCTATTGCAGCTTCTGAACTAGGGTGTTTTGGCGCAGGCTTTGGTTTCTTTTCCAGTATTTTCTCCACTCTTCTGTGAGTTTCCAAGGGTTTTCTCACGAGGCGAGTGACTCGTGAGATCCCGGCGCCCATGATGGATTTCAACTCTATGGGCTAACTCCGCTGGCTAACCGGCGAAAGCGTTATTTGACCCAGATCACCGCGGCTAAAAAACTGGCCTTAGTAAAACTCCAGAATGCCGCTACTCTAATTTGCAAGATTTCCTAATATTTATCAGAAGATACGCTGTTTCTGATAACGGTGAAACATCGATCAGCCATCGTATTACGGTAAACTCGGTTAACGCAAACTAAGCACAAGGTTCCCCTGGAAGATAAAGATTAGCCAGGGGGGAAGGACCCCTGGATCTAAGAACGGGAATTCTCAGTTGAGATAAATTTGTATCTACTTAAGTTTAAACTCCTCGAGCTTTTTTTAACCCAGAAAAAGATCATTAAGAAATGAAAGTTGTAAGGACGTCTAGAAAATTTTTTGTCGAAACAGTACTGGATTGAAATGCTATAATACCGGAATGCACAAAGCATGCATCACTAACTCCCCCCCGGTAGGTGCGATAAGTTTTCTCTATGGTTTGGAGTTGAGTAAACTAATGATCTCTTGTAACAAGTTGACACTGTCAGGAATAAGCCAATCATTAAAATGTAATGGAATTTTTGGGGTAAAGGCTTTTTCAGGACGTGATAACAAGGAGAAGCGTCGCTTCTTCAATATAAATCAATGTAAGAAAAAATATTATTGTTTCTTTTAATAAAAATTGCTATCATGTACAGCAACGCCAGTTCTTATTTCTTCCCACTCTAGAATTAACACGCACATCTTGAATGAATTCCAACCAGACTCAAACACTGTAACCAATTTAAAACAATGCAAACTCTATTATTCTTCTTCTCTTAACCCTTTAACCCCTAAGAGTGACTAACATCTAATTTCTCATTACAATATCACCCCTAAGTCACACATTAAGGTCACGAGAATAAAGGAAATAATCGCCAACTTAAGAAGCTCTCGATTGTTAAACAAGTTCTCCTTATCAGCAAGTTAAAAAACGTGTGGAGAACAGTATAGAGAATATGCATACTGATGTTCGGGTGTAAAGGGTTAAGATGACAGAGGTGCGAAAGAAGCCACGCTAGTACACAGCCTTCTATACATGTCAGAACGCCGAGGCAAAATCCTTGTTGGAAGAGTCGTTGAAAGCGGACCACTTTGCGATCTTGATTTAGGACAACTAAAAATTCTAGACTGGACTCGATCTTGCGGTGAAACTAGAGATTTCTTTTTGCGCACTTTAGGTCGAGAGTTATTTCGGCATAACAAAGGTCTGTTAATTTTCTGTATGAGTCCATTCGTTAGAGCAATTTCATTCAGTGTTTTCTTGTAGGCTACCATGTCTTTTAGGAAGTGAGGTAGTTTAACACAGCCCTGTCGAGCAATGCGCTTGATCCTCTGCAGTTCGTCGCAACAGATTTTTCCGGCATACATCAGTTTGAAATCGATATCGTTCACTTGACGCAAAATAGTCACAGCTCCTGAAATGGTAAGGAGAGTGAATTAAAAATCACAAGTTAAAGCAAAAAACAGGGAAGAAGGGGCGAGAGGAAGGACGGAATTTAACGCCATCTTGTATTATTTCATCCACTATATACGCCCACCACCGGCACAAAGGTTTTCTTTCTTTTTTTTTTAAAGACGTTGAATCTTTTCTCTTTCATTACTATTATTTTGTCAGAATTTCTTTGATGTTTCCTTTTTTCAGAAATCGATGAATCTCATCTTTTATGTAATTCAGTTGAGTTTGGCAAGAACAACTTAAAACAGTCTAGTTTTTACTGACGCCTACTTCAATATTTAAGTATACCTTCAAAATAGCACTGATCATATCCACAGCCTCCAATGTCGCTGCAATTGGAGAGACACCTCTTGGTCCGTACCACCTGCTTCCATCGCTGCTCTGGGTCGTATATGTACATCGCTAGATGCTCAAACAGCTCCTTGAAGGACATTTCAGTCGACATACATGCTGTGTCTGAAACGATGTGTCGAAAGAGTGGTGCGACTAAGAAGTTTGTTATGATGATACTGAACACGCGACAAGCATCTAATTTCTCCTTACATTATCACCCCCGATTGTTAAACAAATTCTCCTTGTCAAATCCTTTAGTAAATGTATAGGGAACAGTATAGAGAATATGCAAACTGATGCTAGGGAGTAAAGGGTTAAGATAGATACTTACAGTAGAGTAACGCTGGCAGAAATAGCATCTTAACTTGCGCCTGATAAATGGTATTGATCGCTGCCAGACCTTCTTCGTTGACTCTGCCAGTGTAAGACCTAGGAGAGCGAAGGTCGAATTTCTTCCTGTTTGAGTACCACGGCTGCAAACCATCATTTGTGGCCCTGAGCTGAAACGCGAGATTGAAGAGTTAAGGAAAATCAGCTAGGAAAGGGATGACCTTCTGGTAGGAAAGGCTGTGACCGTTTGTGGGAGGGAAAAAGTACATAACAAGGAATTGCGAAGGTGTCTTGCGTTAACATTCGCAATTTCTTGATGTGCATTTCTGGATAAATAAGTTTGGACTCTAAACAAACTGTTCTCAGCCTTAAGTTTTTCACCTAATTGAACCTGTTCATCTTAGATGTCATGTCTTTTTGGCACCTTCTCTTCTGGGTCAAAAATGCACTGTAAAATCAAGTTTACTTCCCTCGACGAGTTTATGAGGGAAGCCAACTTCGCAACGTTTAGTTGTTTTATAAATAAGTGATTAGATTAATTAATCTGCCACCAGTAGCTTATAAAGCCAATTACGATAGTACACAATGCATCAATCACCCAAGAGTGTCAAAGGCAGTTCATAACAATCGAAATTACCATTAGCCAATGTAAATAATCATCGGTAGAAGTCGTGAATTCTACAGTACGCTAACCAAAAGCTGAAATAGCGAACCAATTCTCTGTACAATACTTGATCATGTACAGTACGCCATACTTCCATTTGTGTTTATGGACAGGAAAGCAAGCGGACGACTTAGCCTCAAGTTACTCTCGATTATGTAACGTAAGTTTAAGGTTGAGGTGACGAGAAAATTCTTCATCACGTTTACATCATGTTTCTACTGTACCCTGTTGTCTAAAAGACTGACAGCTACATAAACAACAGAAGTTTATGTAAACAAAGGAAAAGTAAATTGATATCTCGTTATGCAAGTAGATTTTATCGTTCGCCGGTCTTGTGCTACGAATTAAGAGTCAAAATAAAACGTGCGCAAAGATACAATGATCGAAAATTTTTTCTTCCCAAAATCAGTCTATTGACTTAACGACAATTGGAACATGAATGAAACCCCAGTCTCATGAATGAAACCCCAGTCTCAAATAAACTCAGCTGCCATGAGCTTCCACCGCAAAATATATGAATTTTAAGTTCGTGACACACTCTAGATCTGCGAGGGAACATTCACATTACGAGAATTTTTTAAGATCAGATCGAGAGGTGCTATGGAAACAGATTCTCGCGATGAAGTATATGAAGCGTTTGTGACTTTGATTAAGAAAAACCTTTGCAGGAGGTGATTCACTATTTAAACAAGTTACATGGTCAGTTTTCCGGAAGAATAAATATTATATGATATTTCAGAATCTCTGATCACACGATTAAAATTGATTTTAAAGTTTACAGGAAATGAAATCTTGAAAGACGAAAAAGGATACAAAATGAGTGCCAATTTCGTGGTCCATCAAACTTTTAATTCCGAGTTCTCGGAGATAAACATTTTCGCTGCTTTTCTTGAGCCACAAACTAAACTTCCGTGCTTCGGGTCGATTGTAGCGTACATTGGGTCCTTGCCAAAACATCTTCCCACTGCAGTTCAAATCACTTGTCCAGTATACACTCAGAGAACCATCTAAACCGTGTGATTTTAAATACTGTAAGACAGTCTGAGACGCTTGGCTAAGAGAAATCTTTTCTCCAAAAGCTGCGTCAAAAAATACATCGCCGCCGCCGTATACATCCCTCACGCGCTCCAAAATGTAACGCGCTTCTTGAAAAAAGTCAAATCGTATTTCACTGTTCTTCTTATTTGTTCCTAGCCAGTCCACAGCGCCGGCGAACTGGAATTGTGGTATTTTACCAAACTTGAGGAAGTTTTCTTTTTCCTCTTGCAGGTTGTTTATGTGATCGTTCGATTGGTACTTTAGCGGCGTTTCGCGCAAAATCTTCACCGGCGTCTTCACAGCAGGATCGAAGTTGCTGGACATTTTGTCTTCGTCCGAGGATAGCATCCGCTAATGGGACATTCCGTTTTCATATCCACAATAATTCATCTTGAACACCTTACAGCTAGGGAATCTCACAGCGTCTCGCTGTTTGGGAGATGCGGCTGGCTTTAAGTGTGCATACAAAACCACTACAATAATTAGTATGTTGATGTCATGGAAACTTTTAATTTTTAATTAGTAGCTTAGAGGCCGCTCACAGATTAGGCCTGGTTACACGTTATCAACATGGTCAGCATTAGATTCCATCCACCAAAACCACCTTGGTCGAGAGGGACTGAGATGGAATGATGGAAAAAAATTACGAAGCTACGACAACATGCCGACTTATCCCGATGACCCAAGTGTATTATTTGTTTGGGAAATTGCGTCGAAACTTTTTACTAAAGAAATGGTAAGTATTAATTTATTGTTCGATTGTAGTATTATAAAACATTTTACGCAATTTTATGCAGATATTTCACGTATTTAAAAGGTGCTTAGATGTTACGTAGTTTTGGTGGATGTCATTAGGGAACATCCACCAAAACTTTAACCAAAACCATCAACAATATATTTTTTAAATTTTATCTATAGCCATTGTTAGATGTTCAGGGAGACAAAAGATTTATACCACTAATTAGCAGTTAGTGCTCTGGCTAATTATTTTTTATGGTGCACAATTGCTGACCGACCAAACGTTCATAATGATTATCATAACTCTTAATACATAGAATAAAGTGGTTTTGGTGGATGTTTCTCTCCATCCACCAAAACCACCACAGAAATTTCTGCTACTTCCTTACAGAAGACTGATGTGACCTGCTATTTGGAGTACATAACCACAATCTATTTCTTTGTATGTAGAGATATTTTGGAAAGTTCTTGAGTCAGCACCTTTTATTATTGAAACCATAATCATAACATGGTGCATAATATAGAATACAAAAGGTTCTGGTGTGGTAATCATGTAATCTTGAAACAGGAGAGTTTTTAACTGACTTAAACTGATTTAAACAAACATTTGCAACAAAATTCCAGGTCCAGAAATTTCTTCCACTATTTCCGCCAAAATCATAACCTTTAAGTACAACAAATCAGCACATTAGTAATTGTTATCAGGGGTCTGAAAATCCTATAAATCTTTCACATTTATTTCAAGTAACCTTTAATTTCACATGGATGAATAAGTATACACTCAACATGCAGAATGTCTTACAGTTTACAAACTATTTCCCTTTTTATGGATAGACAGTGAAAGGCCTTTGCCACATTGGTGAATCAAACCATTGTATACCATGCATTTTGTGATAATTGTTTGTTTTTGCTCACAATACCCAGAAAATAGGGGATAAATTTAAATAGCAAATTCTATGGTTAAAATTAAATAACATTGGAAGATCAAATTAACTTTGTACTGTTTAAAATTCAGTTTTGGTTTCTTGCTTATTCCAGCCTCTTGATATTCAAAAGCATTCCTTGTCATTTTTGTGTTCTTCTGTGTACATAACTTGAAAAATAAACACAGAGAAAGGAAACCACAAAGGATTAAACTTGAAGCTAAAGCAAAGTTTAAGTTGAGCCATAGCTGATCCAAATACTGAGCACTTTGTATTGTAACCCATTTAGCAGTAAAGTTTATCTATATGTCTGCCAGCTTGTCACAAGTCTTACCCCTCTCCTTCAAAAGTCTCTATAAATAAATTTTTCTTTGTGGTCCCTAATTGATGATTAGTATATTACAGCTCCTCAATTTTCCTCTCTCAAGTCAAGGTTACTCTAAATTTAACAAAGTAATGGACTTGATAAAACTCAAACTATAACTCAGCTGGCTGCTACTTGCAACCTTAATTTCTAGATATCAGTATACAATAATCAATATGTTATAAATAAGAACCCTAATGCTTAATTTTGCAGTGATCACCTTCCTCCTTTTCATTTGCAGACCAGACTGGAACCTCTATAGGTGTGTTTGCTTGTTTTGAGTGGGGATGGAAGAAAAGGAGTCATGCCGCATATCTGATTTATTAAATCGCATTTGTTCTGTTTATACATGAGTAGAACTACCTTGTTCTCTGAAAAAAATAAAATTTCTCGCATTTTTATCTGTGCTTCGCAGTCAAACTTCCTTGTGTCTTGGACAAGAAATCTTATTTTCTTGAAAACAAAATCTTTGTTTCCAGCCTTCTGTAATAGGTAAATATAACAGTGTAAGATGAGTGACAGTGTATTTCTCAAGTTATTTTTTGGAATGTGACAAAACGGAAGTGTCATAGCATGATAAGGAGCAAACATATGATTGCTTGATAGAATGCAAAAAATGCAGAATTGCATATATTTTCTCCTTTGTCAGCAGCATATGTTAGTGAAAAGTTCTTACAATTGTTAACTTCTAAACCATCTTCAATTTAGCCAAGATTGAACTGTTATCACGTTTGTCATAAAAGTATTCTGAGATCAATGTCATATGACCCATTCATGTATTTGACCTTTCAAATTAGCAAGCCATAGTTGACAGAAACACAAAGGTTGAGGATAAAAAGAAATTATTATATACAGTACTTCTTCTGTATCTTTTCGTTTCCTTTTCTCTCCAGCTGTTCAATCTATGCCGTGCTGACAATTGAACACTTTCCTTCCCAAAATTAGGAAAGGCACACCAGCAAAAAACGAATTTTTGCTCCTTAAATATCTCATGCATCTTCCCCCAGTATTTTGTGACTTCTGTCCGAGGAAGGAGGTGTAAGCATTAAATTAACCCGAATGATTCCACGATTGTGGTATCATCCAAGCCATGCCAGAGGACTTGAACTAGACAAACTAGTGAGAATGCACAATAGCGATAGCAAAGCTTTGTAATGCTAAAGAGCTATATCAAATATATATAAATATATGTTCCCGAAACCTTTGACAGCTTTAAAGAAAGAAAACTTCGTCGTCAATCCTGTTTCAAATTCCGCAATAAGTTTAAGCGCCTCATTAACAGAATTTACGTATCCTAAATTATCTGCATGTCTACCATCAATGGTTCGCGACTTAAAATTCTCGCTATGCTGTTTCTGTTTGTTCCTCAAGAATCATGGGATTTACAGCTTTTGATGTTCGGCTACATCACTTGCGGATTTCCGAGAATCTTCGGTTATGTTTTGCAAGTCATTAAATATTCCATCTCAGTCCCTCTCGACCGAGGTGGTTTTGGTGGATGGAATCTAATGCTGACCTATCAACATGGCGGATGACGAACAAGAATGCTACAATAAGGTACAGTACAAACTCCCAGGGCCTACAGGACCGGAATCGATCCAAATACCCTTTTAATTTATTTCGGCCCCTACTAGTTTACGCTTCGCAGGTTTCATTTGCAATTTGTGGGTCTCAAGCCGATCAGACATAGTTTGGCGATCAAAGCACGTTTGCTCGGAAGAATCTTCAGCAGAATCTTTCATATGGTTTCTCTTCGCACGTTTGGACTTTTTGCATCATTGGTTCGTCACGAGACTTTGTGTCATCCAATTATGTCAGAAATCGTGTCAGTAAAATTGACTTCCGCTTGTGGTTGTCCGATCTTGCTCGTCAATCACTCCGTTACCAAAATGATAAACTTCATTTAACATAAACTATTAAATTGCATGCATTCACAAAATTGACTGCACTCTGCATATGTTGAATATGTTAATTTCAAGGTGGTCTCTTTCTCACGTCTAATTTCAGCAAAATCAGCCAGTTGGAAGTGAAAGCGATGATGATATCCCTCAGTTATCGGCTCATACTCTGGCAGCTTTGCAGGAATTTTATGCTAAAGAGAAACAAAGGCAGGAATCAGAAGCATCACAAGAAAATCAGGAAATAAGCGAGGACTGGGTCTGTTAATCAAGCAAATGATTCAAATTGCTTTTTTTTTCTGGGCTCCTCAATCAGGCTTTTGCAAGGAAATTTCTGAAGGCCATGAAAAACCAATTTGTGTTTTGTGGTTCTTTTTGTTTTGTTCATTGTTCATTTTGCTTTTTGCTCTCATAGCAATTGAGTCAGTTTTGGTATGACAACAGAACAGCCACAATATTGGCAGAAGAAGCTCTAAGAGCATCACAAAATGGCAGGTGAGGAAAATTAGGTTGTAAAGATTGGAGGTAAGTAGAACACAACTTTTGTATAGAGAGGCCCTTTCTCTAAGAAAGAAGAGTCTTTCCCAAGAACATATGAAAATGAACCTGTGTAGGTGGTAAACCTGGATGTTGACCTTTATATGTGGCTGTCGCATGCCCCACCAGACAAGAGATTAATTGATGCCCCACCAGACAAGAGATTAATTGATAAGAGCCACTAATTATAGGCTAATGTCAGTTATAACGATAATAATATACATGAACAAATTACCTTGTCTTATTGATCAAAAACAAGTGCATTTTTCATGTAGCAGGAGTGCAAAGCTGTAACACAAGTGCAAATTACCAATAGCATCCACGTTCTGCCAAAATTTTGTCCATCTTGACTTTCTGTGATGCGTTTTTCATGTAAATTATTAACAAGTAACAACATGATTTCTCATACAATTTTGTGGAAATATGCACTTGTAAATTTTTCAAAGACTAGAAATTTTCACACGCCCTACATGCTCATGCAGTTTTGCTGTCTTTGAAAATATTTACTTGTGCTTATCAATGCCAAATTGCACTCAAAATCATGTTGCTACCTATACTAACTCAAAATTACTTCTAATTTTCCTTGTTAAATTCCAGAATAGCTTGCCTTTGTTCACCAACTTTGTACAAAAAACTACTTGAAATCAAACCAGAGGGATGTGAAGCAAAAGTCTTCGAATATGACAGAAGATTCTCTGTATTTGGTGAAGATTTTGTTTTCTATGACTACAAGAAGCCATTGGACTTCCCTGCTTCAGTCACTGAGCACTCCTTTGATATAGTTGTGGCTGATCCCCCTTTCCTCTCAGAAGAATGCCTCAGAAAAACTGCAGAGACAATAAAATACCTTGGAAAAGAAAAAATTATCTTATGCACTGGTAAGTATCAGTGACAAGTACAAAACTGTCTTGATTACAGTCATGAGTTATACAGAGTCAAACATGTTATCAGTAGCTGTGCTGTCAATATATGTAGATACATTCTTAAATTTTTTATATAAAATAGAGCATACTAATGATGAAAATTAAGATTATTATTAATCATTTGATCCCTGAGTAACTAACATCTAATTTCTTCCTTCAGTCACCCCTGAATCACATCTAGAGGTCACAAGAATAAAGGGAATGATCACCAACTAATGATGCTCTTGATTGTTGAACAAATTCTCCTTGCCCACACCTTAGAAAATGTATAGAGAACAGTATGGAGAATATACAAACTGGTGTTCAGTTGTGAAGGGTTTATTAGGGAGATGAAACATTGTACTCTCTGAAGTTGCTGAAAAAGAAATGCATAGACCTTGCTTGAGAGAGGTGGCTTTCTGACCTGAATGCAATGCTGAAACGTACTACTTGTGTTTGTTGGTTTCAGGCCAAATCATGGAAGATTTAGCTTTCAAGCTGCTCAGAGTAGAACCTTGCAAGTTCCAACCAACACATGCCAGGAACCTCGCCAATAAATTTGCTTGTTTTTTAAATTATGATAGTGAACTGGATAAATGAGAGGCATTTCTTTTAGAAGATCAACAGTTTGTGAATTCTTCTACACAGCTTGAGGCCTCAAATTCTCAAATTCTAATGCACAGTAAAGGCATGTTATTCAATTTCTCATCATACTGAGCTAAATCATGTCAATGGATTTGCAGTGCTACAATCTCAGTGGAAAGTGAAAACTGTTTATGGTACATACTTGCTAAAAACAGGGGAACACCATTCTTGACAATAAAATACAATAGTTCTTTCATAAAATTCCAGTCTTATTAACAACAGAGAAAAAGTGCTCATTTAGAAATAATCACCATGTGTTAAGGCCAGGTTAATAATTTTATGCATAAAAATGAAATGTGTAGACACACCACCTTCACTGTCCATTTGCATTCAATAAATCCCACCATCCCAGTAGTATTTCTCCTGCATTCTGGATGACAACCTAAGAGAGATTGCTATAAATCTGTTGCCATAAATTTTGCAGTCTTATAAGTTACACCACTCACAATCTATTCTATGATGGATAATGAATAAAATGAGCGTTTCAGCACATACCCATTTGTATCTTTATTCAATAAAAATGTTGGCCTGTCTTGTGGTTACCAGTAAATTTTGAACAAGAGAAAATAGGATTTTTTTTGCTCTTGGTTTTGAATGACTAGTAGGTTTATACTACCTGTTAAAACAATTAAACTATTGGCTGCTAATTTTCATATGTAATAGTGTGAGGGCTTCTCTCTCACAAGCTATTAGATTGATGTTTCCAATGTCTCTGTCACCTTCCTTATGGGCAATTCCACACTTGCCCCAGGGTTAACAATGGGCCAAGTGTCTGTTGAGTAAAGCTATCTTTGATGCTTTAAGTAGAAAACTAAGAGACTTCAAAAATAGCAATCATCTCTCAAGAGTTCAATTTGAATCTATACCATACTCCTTACACTATCGATACAATATCAAGCAGACAAGTGATGGAAATACAGAAAAATATCAATTAGGGGATTATTAGTTGATAAAACTAACATAACAAATGCATGGCAAACAGTAAGGAGAATTTCAAATGAGATCTTGAGAGTGAAAAGTTGGATGGCTGCTAATTTATGCCAGGAAATGTCTGTTCCTGTAAATTGATCTGCAAAGTTAACTGTACAGTCTAAATATTATTAAGTTTGTAAAAGTTACAATGTATAAACATTATGATAATTACATTTTTAATAGCTTTGATTATAAAAAAATAATCATTTAATGACCAGATCTTTGATAATAAAAATAGCTTCACAGTCACTTCCACTTAACAAGTGCATTGATTGAATATCTAGCGAGTTAATTGACAGTCTGTTATATGGAAGAAGAGAGAATGTCTCCATTTTATGTTTTGTTGCATCGACCGATAACCATGGACTCGTACTCTCATATCCACCGCCAGCACCTGCACCATTGCCAATACTGCTGAGGTGACTTGAATTAAAACCTGGCATGCCTGTGGTGCTCTGGACAGCCACAGAAGTACCATCCCAGTGCCAGAGGGATCCGTCTTCAGAACAAGTGAATAAGTTGTCTGGGCTTAACGGGTGAAATTTCACTTCCCATACTTATAAAAAAAAAAGAAAGAAAACAAATAAATGACCACTAGAAGTTTGAAAAGTGTCATCCCACTCACATTCAAACCCTGAAGCTTCTAAACTTGTCTGTCAATCACATCTCACAAATAAACCTGATCATTTCATTGAGCTTCAAGTTTTAGGTCCCTCGAGCAAAACTAAAATTTTGGGGACTTAATGTAGCAGAAGTCACCAATCTAGCAACCTGTGTTCCACAGCCATGTGGCCAAGTACTTTACAACTTTCAGATTATTAAGTGTTAGTGGTCTTCAGTTGATGCATGAACAACACCTTACACAAAATACAATCAGCACCTCTCCTGCATTCTTTCACAGAAAACAAAATCTTCTTTGTGCTCAGTTATCTTTGTATCCAACCCTCACAGGTCATATTAACCTCCAAAAATGAATGCCAGCCATATGGCTTCTTTTAACCCTTTACCCCCTAAGAGTGACCAGCATCTACTTTCTCCTTACAATATCACCCTTGAAGCAAACAATAAGGTAATGAGAAAAGGGAAAATGACAACCAACTAAAGCAGCTCTTGATTATCAAACAAATTCTCTTTGTCAGCACCTTGGGAAACGTATAGTGAATAGTATGAAGAACATAGATACTGATGCTAAGGAGTAAAGGGTTAAAGACATGCAGCGTGCCCAATGGTATCATGTGTCAAGTACATGTACATGTCCATGTCCTTTCCATTTTTTGACACCAGTGTCACATGACACATTTTGAGCAGTTTGCATGCCACAGTTAGATGGAGTAAATAACACTCACATTACAAAACCCACTAAAATTTTTAGTAGCAGTCTAAAAAAACCTCTATGTTCCACTAACTACTACCACTAACCCTTTAACTCCCATGAGTGAACAAATACAATATCAATACAGTAGCAAGCAGACAAGTGATGAGAATAAAGACAAATATTAATTAGGGGATTATTAGTTGATCCAATACAAAATTCTTCAAACTAACATTGCAAGAGCTGTATGGTAGACAGTAAGGAGAATTGCTAATGAGATCTTGGGAGTTAAAGGGTTATGGGTTAGAACTAACAAACTCTTGACAAGGTAAGGAAAAAAAATATGGAAAGGGTGTCCAACCTTCTCCTGCATGTGCTTCCAGTAATGTGACAGGATAAAGTTCTTGTCGCATATCCCAGATACTTAGTACACCATCTTGACCTCCAGCAGCAAGTAGGTGTGGCTGCATCGGGTGTTTGTCAACACACAGCAGCGAGACACGGTCCCCTGAACTGTACACAAAATAATTTGCAAATGATATATTTCAAGCTTGGTAGCAACTTGGGTCAATTTATATTGAAAATTGCCAGCCTCTAACAAAGCCTGGGTGCTTCATTGATCATACTGCATTTGTTATAAAGTAATTGTTTTCCCCATTGTTGGACAAGCAATGTTATTATCAGTCTTTAACAAAACAACAAAAACAAGAAAAATAAATAAAGCAGACCAGAGTTTTTAACCTTTCTGAGAAGATTAAACATTAACCTTCATTAAATATAAATTAATGATGTTATCTATAATCAATGTTTAATTGACACTCACAGTAACATTGTTCTTCCAGGCTTATTCCCAGGTTGTCGAAGATCCCAAACTTTGAGCTGACCGCCAAATGTTACAGCAGCCACTTCATGTGACATTATACAAGTAATACTGTTTATAGTTGTGCTGTCTGCAGAATCTGGGAACACAGGCAAAACAATGAGATTTCACAGTCACATAATTTAAATGAATAAAATTGCAGGACATCTTATCTGGGGATAATGCTTACCCAACAAAATGATTTAATGGTAACCTTTTATGAAATCTTACTGAAGGTCTTGGGATTTCATAGAATATTTTGAAATAGTGTTTGAGAAATTGAAACAGAAAGAGGCAAACAAACAGTCCTTGAAATAAAACCTGTTGGCTGTTGTGCATAAAGCTTGTAAATGTATAGCTTTGTTGTACAGTTGGTAGTTGCACCAAACTGGCATTTGGGAGGCATGGGTTTGAATCTCACTTTTTTCCTGCAAATACTACTGTAGTCTACCAACTAAAACTCTATCTCTACTTCAACTCTGTTATTTCTTACCTATCGATCTCACTGGATGCCTCTGATCAAGTTTCAATACATTGATCCTTCCGTCTTCACCAGCGGTTACTACATCAATGGAGCCAGAATTTGTAGCAAGACATGTACATGAACAGCCACGACTTCCAACATGGTGAAGAGAATTCCATTCAACCTCGGGTCTGATGGCCTGACAAGTTCAAAAAGATTTTAATATCCTTTCCTTTCAACTTCAGTGTTATAATAAAAACCAATTTTGCTTGGAATCTTATCAAACAGTATTGCATGAAATAGAATCTGGTTTGTGAATTTACTGTACAATAAATTTTGGAAGTGAGAATTTAACTTTAATTGATTTCCAAAGCATCTGGCAGCATAACTCCACCAACCAGGGATACAATTTCACTGCAAAGTTCCAGGTGGGATGTTCACTGGAACAACTTTAAACTCTTGATTTAAAGAGCAAGCACGAGTAGAAAAAAATGTGGGTGATGCTGTAGCATAATGGTAAGTGCACTTAACTCTGGGTTGAGCAGTCAGGTTTCAAGACCTGTCATAGGTTGTGTTCTTGGGAAAAGAACTTTAATCTATAGTGTCTCTCCCAACAGGGGTATCAGTGGGTGAAGCTGGTGAAATTTTAGGGGGAGAGGGAACCTTGTGATGGACTGGCATCCCATCCAGGGGGAAGTAGTAATACTCCTAGTTGCTTCATGCAGAAACTGCCAAGATACGCTCTAGCTAGCTGGAGCACTTGGCTTGAGTACTGACTTGAATTAACTACCTGTGTATACTACCAGATGTGGAGACAAGTACTGGGAGAGCAAAGTGCCTTGTACAAGAACACAACCACATCAGTTGACCTGAAGACCAGTATTGTGTAGTATGGATTTACAAGGATTATAAAACCTTTTACACTAACCTGGTGTTTTGAACTATATTGGAACAGGTGAACACTTCCTGTTGAAGATGATACCATGATTCTCTCTGAATCAATACACTAACAAAGAAAGTTAGATTAATTAGGTCAGGTTTAAACACTTAAAGCAGACTGAATTCAGCAAATTGAGGACAAAAAAAGTTGAAATATCAATGTCTTGAGCATGCTTTCCTGTTAAGCTACGTATTTCACAAAAACTAGGCTCAACCACATGCTGTTTTAAGAAACATCTGAGCATCACAGCTCTTATGATGATGAGAAATTTTTATAAGTTGGCCAGTGTCAAACTGTCTGGCAAGAAGAGAAAACACTGACAAGGGGTAGTGACAGTCAACAGTCACTCTGATCAAACCAATTAACTTGCCTTGCAGTTTGATCAGTTGATGCACATGCATAATTATAAGCTGTCAGGTTTACATATCATGCTAAAAGTTTACAATGAACCTTATAAGGGTCTATCGCATGTAAACTCAATGCTAGATCTTAATTTGATTGCATTTAACCCTTTCACTCGTAAGATCTGAATGCTAATTCTCCCCTCTAGTTTCCTTGTAAATTGGGTACGAGAATTTGGTTTTAGATCAAGGTAACAATTTTTTAAATAAATTTTATACCCCATTCACACCAGCAAAACATGTTTTGTTAAACTGGTTTTCATTGAATGAAAATTATAAACAGAGAACTGAAAAACTTGATTTTCCATTGGATTCAAGTACTTGCTAACTTGCATTTCCAATGTGCTACATTCAAGTCAAAAATATTCGGTTAAATAGTTTCTATGAAGAAAAAAAAATTAAACTGTGTTTAACAAAACAACTTTTAAACATGTTTAAGCTTTGGTGTGAATGGGGCATTAGTCTTCTCATTACCTGTTTACTTGATAATGTATGGATATTATAGGGAGAAGTTCCAAGTTAATCATTTGTGCTAGTGAAAGGGTTAAATAGCGCAAAATTGAATATAATTATCAATAATATACTTCATAGCTCATTGATGAGTTGAGCATATTGACTTGCTAACTATTTTGTATAATTTACCTCGATGTCCGTTACATCTCCAATAAAATTAGTGTCACACAACAATTTTGGTTCATTTGCGACAGCGAAGGAGGCAGCTGATTCTCCACTTGGCTCCTCATTTTTCCAAATGGATAATTTGTTAACCTAAAGAGAAAAAATAAAGAAAGTCTTACAAATAATTTCTTCCCTACAACATAACTGTCAAATCTTCGAAATTAAGATTGTGTTTAAGAAGAGTTCCACTTGCCTGGTCGTCCCAGCCGCCTGTAACAAATGTGTCGGAGGCATTCAACTGGCCCTTTTCTTGAGGAATCCATCGAGCTTTCGATACCTTGTGCCCTACATATTTAACAACCGTTTCTCCAATACTCGCCATTTCACAAAATTACCTCCGCACATGGCGCGCAAAGTTACCGAATGAGCGAGTAAGACTTAGTACCAGTCCCCGGTATAGACCACGATATTTTACACAAAGGCCATAGCTCAAATTGTAACCAAGGACCTCCTAAAATCGCGGGCTCTGAATGAATTTCAAAGATGGCGTCTTTCGAGAAGGCTAAGAAGTCTTATCAGAAGTTTCATAAAGAAAGGGGACAGGTACGATCGAAATCTCTCCATAGATGCAGCTTCAAGTAGTGAAAATTGATATAAGTCAAAGAAATTTGTTGAATTCATGTTAATGGCGAGATCAGTTCAAGACAAATTCATCAAACAAAAGCAATCACATATCGTCTGTAAGCTTTAACACATGTACTTAGACTCCGTTGATTCTGTTTTAAATGATTGTTTGGCAGTTCCTGAATTCTCAACACGCACCAGAGGTTTTTAGATTTTAGCTGTGACAGGGAAGCAAATTAAAAAATTAATCTTTCCAAATTTGATTTCAAATTACCAGTACCATTTAATTGTTCGCTGGAAAAGCGCTAGCTAAGAGTGGTTGAATTTTTATCTTTACAAAAGAGTCAACCCTTCTGTAATAGAATACAATTTGGGAATTAACTTTCAGATTATAGAATTTAAATAATTAAACAACTTCGTCACAAAACACTCGCAAACTTAAAATTTATATTTTCAAAATTATTTTTCAGTTGAAAAGCAGAAAGAAGTATGGTCTTCTTGAAAAGCATAAAGATTATGTCTTGCGTGCAAGGTGAGGGTCGCCCACAGATGTATTTAACAGAATTGCTCTAGCTATCAATGAATTTGAGTGCTCGTGCTTCGTTTCTGTAGCATTAAACAGCCAGGAGGCCAAGGGTGGCTGCTGTAATGACAAGACAAGACAAGACAAGACGATGTTCTTTCTTAATGTAACTTACTTGAAGAGAAGAGCTATGGGTTTAGATTCTGTTGCCCAAGATACCAAGAGAACAAGGCAGGCAGTGCTTGAACTGGTACCTCTTATTAAAGCATCCAGTATGCCAAATTGCATCTCACACAAATTCTCTTCATACCAGGATATCATATTACCCACATACTAACCAGAAGCCAGGATGTTCTTTTGGTTATCATTATTTTTATTTTTTACAGAGACTATCACAAAAAGCAAGATCATCTCAAACTTCTGAGAGAGAAAGTGAGTTTATTTTTCATTGTGGTGATACCATTTGTATTTGTGACCTATTGGTATCAAATGTTATTTCAATGGAGAAAGTCATTTGTCATAAAAATAACACTTTGCAAAATAGTAATTTCAAATTGAAAGTGCCACTTAGATATATAATTTTTCTTTCACTGCTGTCAGGCATTAAACAAGAATCCAGATGAATTTTACTTCAAGATGATCAGCAGCAAAACCAAGGTAAGGAAACTTATTTCATTTTGAGTGCAGCTACTGTTATCAGAGTCATTTTCACAAAAGTCACTAATCTGCTTACAGGAAGGAGCAGCAACTTCCTTCTGAATCTTTTTTGTCATATTTGGTCTGGTTTTTCAATTGACCCTGGTAACAGTGGCAAGACTATTAACCCTATCACTACTTGTGAAATTTTAAGTATCAATTATTGTCTCTGTCAGTCCCAGATTTTGTATGATTTTAGCCCTGAGAATTTAATATGAAATCAAATTGAATCATATATTTTATTCTACTCATTACCTCTTTGCATAAAGGTGTGAATAATACATGGAGGAAGTCCTTGTTGATCACTTCTGGGAGTAAAACGGTTAACTCCCAGAAGTGATTAACTTGTAACTTCTCCCTATAGTATTCATACATTACACAGCAAACAGGTAGTGAGAATACTCAAACTCATCAGATACAATTTATTACTTTGATTGAACACCTAATTCTCGTAATCAATCTACAAGGAAATGTGTAGTAGCTAGAGGGGAGAATTAACAATCAGATCTTGGGAGTTAAAGGGTTAAGGAGCTGGTTGTGAAATAATGCCAATGTTAAACCTTTTACACCACCACTGATACCGCCAGCATGTATATTTTCCACATTGTTCTCCTTAGTCCCAGACAAGTAGAATTTATTAAACAATCAAGATCTTCCTTAGGTGGTGGTTTTTTTAATTCTTATGAGCTTAGGGATCATTGGGTTAATAATAAATGGTTCTGAACTGTAGGATGGAATCCACCATGCAAAGAGAGGAAAGACACACACTGCTAAGGCTCTGAAGCACATGAAAACACAGGACCTGAACTATGTTAGTTCTAAAAGATCCATGGAAGCAAAGGTAAATGAATACAAAACTTGATGCAAGTGGTTAAAATATTTCACATGGTGAACAGAGTCAGTCTAAGGCAGGTTTCAGTCTCCAAGACTGGCTGGCCTAAGTTAGTGTTTGAATAAAGAGGCAGTGTGGATGAGTGGTTAGGGACTGGTATTGTAATCTAGTGGTCCTGGGTTCAAGCCCCCACCCCAGCCACTCACTGGATTTGTTTACTCTTGCTCTGAATTCAGTCTGTTGGTTGCACTTTGTATACAGCCAATTTCTAATCTGTTGTTATTGGCCCTGAAAAGTCTCATTTGGGTAGTGATCAATTAGGTCTACATACATGTACACACAATGAATGACTGAGGTAAATTCTCTGGTACTCGTGTCCAGTGAACTGTGCATGATTGTGAGCATATTTTCATGGAGCCTGCCTGACAATCACAATGCTCTCAAACAGATATTACTCTCTTTAACCAGAAAATAGAAAAACTTCAAGCTAGTCTTCATTTGTTGGAAGATGACAATGTATGTCCTGTGAATCAGCATGTAGTTTTTGTGGACAGTGAAAAAGAAGGTATGAAATACATTCAGGCAATACATATTAGAGGGAGTAGGGATAGCCCAGTGGGGAGAGCAGTGGTGGTAAGCATGTGGCGAGAGCATTTGTTTCCCACCACTGTGGTGCAGGTTCAATGCAGGACCTGGCATCACATGTAGTTTGAGTTTGTTGTTGGTTCTCCTCCTTACTCAAAGGGTTTTTTCTCCAGGTCCTCCAGTTTCTCTCCCTCAATCCAATTTAACCTGGAACAGTGGACAGGAAGAGCCACCTAGTGGAATGTTCACTGCTGAATCATTATTATTGTTACTATTAATATTATTATTATATACATGCATTTTATGAACCTTTGTCCAAAACGGCAATTTTGTGCCTTAGTCCTCTTAGCCTCGAGTACATCTTGAAAATTGTGTTAATTTTTTGCTATGAAAACGTCAAAACGTTGCACTCCACATCAGAAGTGACCACATTGTGAAACAAATGATTATATTTCTCTCTCAAAGAAACAGTGTTTTTTTTCTCACGTGTGAACATAACATATCATTTTCACTTACAAAGATATCATGTTTTCAGGCAAAAGCTCATATGGTATTTCTTTGATGTTCATGTAAAAAAAGCGTATTTAAAATCTGAAGTTAGCCCAGAGTTACCAGTAAATTTTTCTTCACATGCATAAACAGCTGGACAAATGTCCTGCCTGGACAAAACCTTTATTTGACCAGTCATGGTCCATTGACTGGCCGTTATTTTGAGCCCTGGATTATTCTTAATTTCAACAATTCTTTTATTTTTGTTCATTAGCTCAGTCTTTTGATGCTGCTGCACATTTTGACACTGTGCCAGAACTTGTGTCAAGAACATACAACAGGCCCAGAAAGGAAACACTAAAAAGACATCTCGTGCAGACTCCAGATGACCACACTGTTCAGGTACATGAAAAGTTATTTTTTGGGTTTTTTAGAAGGGGATAGGGATTTGATAGCACTATCCAAGAAATATGTATGAATTTCAATATTTTCCTTTGAAGTTGTTGATGAAAATGGGTCTGACTCAAGGATGGGGTGTGGTCTTTCGATACATCTAGGCAGTTATGAAAGCCGCAAAACTTTCGAACGCAAATTTACTTTCCAAATCGGTATTCTTAATCCCCACGTTATCAATGAACGCTTTTCATTCAACTAATTTGAATGTATTCTTGTGTTTTTGGCATTACCATGTTATCACCAATAGCATAGCTCCATCTTTCTGTATATTTACCACACACAACCCACAATTCTTCTATTCGCTCTGACGAAGGGCTAACGCTGGAAATGTCAGCTTTAGATTCTCTTTACGGCAGCCAATTTACATTATTAACTCAGTTGATAAAACCAAAGTTATCTTTTAGTGCCTTTCCACCCCCCTCACACCAAAATAACCCCACCCCATCCCACCCCTTATGGGTGTAGATCCCAAGTCACCCTTACTGAAGTTATGTTTCCTGCTTTGACCCTTCTGTTTTATCATGTTAAGTATCTTCAATGACCTGTTTGTTTTTCAGAGACTTGAAAAACAAAGGCATCGTTGTTACGAAGAGTTAAGAGAACGAATTGAACGGGAGAGCAAATTGCAAAAGGTCACTGAGGAACTGGAGCTTCAGAAGCACCTTATGGTATGAGATACCACGAAAAAAACATTTTTTTAGGAAACCTTCCGAACAGAAACATCCACAAGCATTTAGTTTTGAGAACAGTAGAAGAAAACTGATAGCCCAGGGCTCATTTCAAGCGTAGACACCTAATAAGTAAACAATGAAGTTCATTGTCATGTTACTTAACACAACTCTTTGATTTGAGGTTAATGTAGTTGAATGTAGTGATGAGATTACAATGGGTAAGAGCTGCAAACTCTTACTCACACCGAACTGGTGTGACGCGCAAATGGCGCGCGCGCGCGCTCTGAGATTTTTTAAATTTGAAAACACATGATGAGCAATTCTTACGCGTGCGATTTTCGCGTTTTTTTTTTCGGAGTCGCGTTTTTATTCGCTTTGGAGTTGAGAGTTTCCGTTTGGTGGTGGTCGCCTATTTTCCGAAGATAATTTTGCGTAATCGCTTTCGAACAATTAGAGTAGCCTTCCACTGGAGCATTGATCTTTACCATTTTATACGTGTTGCTTTGAAATTAACAGTTTTATGTTCTGACAAAGATCATGTGCTTGTTTTCAGGGCAAAGGCAGACGAGTGAAAATACAGAAAGATGAAAAATCTACACCAGTTTACAGATGGAAGAGAGAAAGAAAAAGATAGCACGAATTCTTGACTCATTGTAGTTACTAAATAAAGAATCTTTGTTACATGAAAAAGTCTTGTTGTCTTAAGATATTTTCCGTGCAAATCAGACTGTCACATAATCATTTTGTTGTCTTGCTGCGGAAAATTAAAAGTTGTTTGCCGTTTGCGCGTCTTGGAATTGCAAGGTTATACTTTTTTCAGGGTTTCATTAGCAATCTATTTTAATCTTCGCTAGTTTAACCATCTTTAGTTTATTTTTATCTCCTATGTGTTTTTCTGTCTAAGCGACAAAATTTATCACCGTCTCCTTTATGTCAAAGGCAGTTTTGGACGTCGCAAAAAAATACTTGAAACTACAGTGTCGTTTTAAAATGTGTTCGTAATGGACTGTTGGAGAGTCATGAATCACTTTGTGCAACCTCAAAAATAACATTTAACCAATTTGCTTCGATGTAAATGTTTGACCCGAATCAAGAGGTTATAAACAGTTTTCAATCTCTTGCCCGAGTGCGAGGAAACATTTTGAAGGTATAGCTCGAGGACTGTGGTAACGACAGCTCGGACTGAATGCTGCTGTAACTAGTTAAAGACAAGGAAAGTATGCTATCTCGCTCGTGTTTATTAACCGAAAAAAAAATTCAGCTTCAAAAAGGTTTACTTTGAATTGAAGTAAACAGCACCAAACGACGACAATTAGCAAGGGCATTAAAATTAAGTGTGTGATCCGGATGTAACAAATAGTACATCATACAATGATATTAATACTAGAAGTTGAACTTCGTAAAAAACCTTTTCAGTTTAGCTCCAAACTTGAGTTGGCCACGGATGAGCTCGACGGTAGCCTTTTACATTCTTTGCTTCTTGAGGAAGAAATTTTCCCTGTTCCGAACATGTCTTCTTTTCGCTTTTCCAAGTGCTACGTTCGCGGTTGCCACTGGTACAACGCCATCTTAGCCTATTTGTTTGAAAATTCTTCGTGCGATCTACTTTGGCAAAGAATTGATCCATTCTCTCCCTGGTGTCCTTGGCTATTTCTTCCTGAAACGAGAGAGTGAAGAAGTTATTATCATTAATCTATAGGCCTTCTTGCTAACAGCGCACTGAAACGGAAATAGGCACAGGGTGTGGTATTAGGGGGTGTGGAGAGGGGGGTGGATGTGACAGTTTCTTTTTCTTTTTCAATTCTTAGAAAGTAAATCGGCCCAGCAACCAAAGAGCAGTCCCTCTTTTCCAGCACAATCCTCGCCCGTCAAGCCCCTTCGAGCGAGTCAATAGAAACATGGCGCCAAGAGAAAATCTGAGAGGTAGAAACTTCTTTTATTCTAACCACTAAGTAAGTGTACTTTGCAAAGCTTTGTTTGCGCTGAAAACTTTCGTTTAATTTATTTGGCTGCTAACGATGTTTAAGCTATCTACTATTCAGTTTTAGATTCTTGTTAATCCATTCACGATTTTGATGCGTCCATAATCCATACTGTTTTGAAAGTTACATTTATTCGAATTGTTTGGCCTGTTATCAGCGTAAAGTTCACATTTGTTGGTGTTTTTCAGACTACTTAAGTTATCTTCGAGGTTTGAACTTGTTTTCTTGGAGTGTTTTGCTCGTTGCACTAGCTCTTTTGTGTGCCACCATCTCGGGTGTAACCAGATGAGGCAACGCCTGACGATGTGTTGGCTTAAATTTTGCGCGCCGATTAATGATCTTCAACCATCAAGGTTAAAGAACATAAGCAAGAAAGTACGTAAGCACGTAGCTTCATGGTGATTTACAATAATCACACAGAAGTTGTAGCAGCAGAGAAGAAGCATACTAAGAAAAAAGCTTTTGAGATTGAAGACTCTTGGTGCCTACCGCCCAGCGTGGTTTGTCCATGCAGCTATACCTGAGCTATGAAAAAAAACAATGTCCCAAAAATATGATGAGCTTGGCGATCCTCACCATTCCGTGACAGAGTAGCAATCAATTTGAATAAGATTTGAGGAGCCACCTTAATTTCATCGTAGGCAATTTTCCTCACCTGCGATTTTCTTCCTTTCGAATCTTGTGGAACATCAACTTGGAAAAGTTTAACGTCTAGGCTTCTAGTCCTGTTCAATTTCCCTTTGGCTTGTTTTGCACCCAAGTTCTCCTTTTTGCTTTTTTGCTTTTTAAGCTTCCGCCCATCATTAAAATGCACGAATCTGCAACTTCTCGACCCATCAGTGTCCTGGCTCCGTTCGTTCTTTGAGGCGCTAGAGTTCCCAGAGGGTTCTGAATCGTATGCCGTGTCCTCTTTGATATTGTTTTCTGTTGACTGTGAACTTGTTGTGATTTCACCCAGCCAGAAATCGTTTTTGGAATGCACAGAAGTCAAATTTAGATCTTGTGCAGATCCCTCTAGCTTTGAGGTGTCAGTTAAACTAGAGCTTAGGTCCGTCGACGTATTTACTGATGGTGATTTCAGAGAGTTCTCAAAGTCATGTACTGTCGCAGAACTAGAAAAAGTGGATCGACCTCTGACGTCCGGTTGGCCTACGGCTTTGAGTCTTTTTTCTTGATTTGATTGTGATCGAATTCGACTAACACCGTCCTTCAAGCATTTTTCGCCAGCTTCAAGACCCGAGTTGCTATGACTTCTAGTCGTCGTTAGTAGGACGCCGTTTTCAACGTCGGAACATAGTATTTCTAGTAGTGTTAAGCCTGTTGACTCTGACTTTTTCTTTGCCTGAGCTTTTCTGTCAGCATTTTGTTTACCCTCGTCCCTTTGCAGGTATCTTGGTCTTTTATCACATGGATTCAATCCATCGTGCTCAGCTGCTGCTGAGCTGGTAATTATGGGGTTGGTTCCCTCATTGACAGTCACGGTGTTGTTCTTGTTCAGTTCTTCATGTGGGAGAGCAAAAAAAAAGTCTTAGTCGCGAAGTTATAAAAGAATGCAAGACAAACTCATAAAGAGCTACATTTTCCACTGGAATTACATAAATTTAGACGCGAAAAGGGATCGGCTCCTTCTTCTCTGACACTACGGAGGACAAAGAAACATTTTAGGCTCAGGGTTTGCTGAAGTAAATTCAGAAACATGGCATTAGCAGAGTGATGGTGGGAGCCTGTATAATCTGAGCGTAATTTGACCATCTGAAAGCCATAAAGTGCATTTCGATACAATAATCACCACACCAGTCGCATCAAAAGGGAATACCACAAGGAGCCGATGAAATCTCACAGCACTATTGCCTAAACCCGAATCAAAAATGGTTTCAGTTTTATATCTGAATGGTTGAGACGGTGTTATGAGTTTTCTGAGCCAATCACAGAGCGAAAAATGCAATATTCAACGTCCTCTTGTCTTTTCAGGTAGTAAATGCAGTGCACTTGCATGACAAATTAGCTCCAAACGCGTAAGGTGTGATGCGCTTGATTATGTCGAATATAAGAGCGTCGGGAAGCTGCATGGTTGCCCAACTAACTGCAGCAAAAAGAAAAAAAAAAGGTAAAACAAGAGTCAACTGACCTTCCTTGAGTTCTGTACTCGGATGAGTTACAGAATCTTTTTCTCTTTTGTCACCATTGGCGTGATAGTTCTCTCCATACTGGCTCCAATATTCTTCGCCTGACTTCACTGTCGGACGGAGTGACATTTTGAATACATGTGTTTGCTCCTTCAGCTGATTCAAATATTGCTTTTTCTCCTTCTCTAGTGTGTTAAAAAGAACTTGCAGCTTGTAATCCTCAAGTGAGAAACCTTTAAAGAACCTGGAAGACGAATTTTCCATTGCACCGAGTAAGTCAAGAAATTTCAGTGGTTACGTTCGTGTTTATGTTGTGACATCATAATTGTCTTTGACGTCACTAAACGCGACATGTCAGCATGTGCTTAACAGCACATCAGCCAATGTCTGCGCATGAGCAAATATTTTAAAGGTTAGATAGCTCGCTGTCAGGTTGACAGAATCAGGTTGTCTCACGCGGGTTACAATCGACCACACAAACCAGTAAGTCGCGGTGTTTTTAAAAACCTGCAACATTTTGATAAGCTCAAAATGGAATGAGTAAATCAATGGGATACACGTACTTGAATAAGCCTTCGAAAAGTTTCGAGTTTCCCTTTCCCAACTATGGCTTCCTTTTACAGATTTCAACAAACGTTTCAATTTTATTTCACTTATTTCGCGAGACATCGGTTGTTTCTAAAGTTTTCCTTTGAAATTTTGCAAGGGAAATTGGCGCGCGGCCGGCTTGAATTGATCCCCTCGCGCATGCTCGACGTTTGACCGCTTTGTTGAGCTTGACAGGAGGGACTTTGCAGTGGTTGACAGACTTGCACAAGCTGCGCGTAATCACGGATTCAAAGTTTCACCACCGTACATATCGACTGCTTGCAGCATTTACTTGATAGGAGGGGAATATTTTCCTTTTTCAGCTAAAGGACGTTTGCTTTAAGACATGTCATATTCACCAGCAAAATATCAAGGTAACATTCACCGCGTGACTTTCTTAATTGATGAGGGATCTCCTTGTCCCTATACGATAAATCAGAAATCTTCTTTTTCATTTAGGGAAATGAAGTGAAATTTCGTCGAAAGTCTTTTGTCATTAACAAATGGTTTTATAAAACGAATGTACTAAAGGGTATTTCATAACAATGCGCATCTCTCAGTCCAAGTTTGGGAACTAAATACACTTCCTGACTGACAGATTATTGAACAAAGGAGCAGTCAAATCTTGTCATAGTTTTGGTTAATTGGTCACTGGACATCGTCTGTAATCATACCACTGGATTTTGTCACTCATTTGTATGACACCCTGTAATCTGATTGGCTCTAATTGGTGCCATTTATTCACAAATCACATTTTTTTTGCTTTAAATCGCATCTTTTTCCCAGCCAATGAGGAGGCTACACCAAAAACAAAACAACCAATCAGATTTCAAGGCTTGTTTAAAGAAACCAATCAAATTGCAAGAAAATGAAAGACAAAGAGTATCATACTTATGATTTCAAATTGAACTTGTGCTGCACGCTCGTTCAAGTTTGAAATCACATGTATGATTTCAGCCCAAATTGCACTCCACTCAGTTCAATTACCACTATGAATTGAACCCCACTCAGTCCTATAAAACCATTACAAATCAGACTTTACTTGCTCTGATCATTAGTAGCTATCTTTTCCCCTTCCCAAAATAAGAGAGAGAAAAACAAAGAAACCAACCAACTAACAAAAATAAAGAAACATGCAAAAACATGACCAAATCAGAACAAAAAACAACCAAAATAAATCACACGATACAATCTGTAAGATGTTGTAATGGTAGAACTTTTATTTGTGGTCCTTCTGTAACAATTTACATGGAGCTCATTTTGGCCTTCTCTTGCAGTCTTCTGTCTCGCTCCTCGGCAATAGTAAGCCTGACACCCTTGCCCTTGGGCAGGGACACATGTGGCTTGTTGGTCTTGCCAATGATGAAGATGTTACTGATACGCGTGGCAAACTGATGGCCAGTGTTGTCTTTCACATGGACAATGTCAAATGAACCTGGAAATGATGTACACTTACTAAGCTATTGGTTGAACGACATCAGTTTGAAAGCTTTTTCAGAAGCTAATATCTTGCGCTACTAAACTTAAAGCACTTTCTCAGACTGTTTTTCATTTCTTGATTGTCTATGGTTTTGAAGGCGGTCTGGCCAGGAATGGACCTGAGAGGACCTATAAACCTTGGAGTCTGTTTGAATTCAAGTCCTTTTAATTACACTTTATTGCATTTTAAATGAAACAAAATATTTTCTCGATGAATCCTAACCCAGTGATGAAAAGACTTTTTGCATGTATATCTGTTTGGATTTTTAAAGTTCAATCAACCACTCATTTGAAAACTCCTTGTGAAAGTTCCAAATGATCTAACACAAGATACTCCATCCTATTTTAAAGAGAAAATTCTCTGAGCTAGGCCTAAGATCTCTAGCATAACATGCACATTATGCAGCCCTGTTTACAGAAGATAGGACAGAAAAAAGAATTGCTCTTCTAGTTTCAGTTGCCCAAACTATCAATTTCCTACCTGCATGTCTCTCACGATGAGTAACAATTCCAACTCGGCCCATGTTGCGTCCTCCAACAACCATAGCGAGATTTCCAGTGTCAAACTTGATAAAGTCAATGATCTTACCACTCTTGATTTCAATTACCACAGTGTCGTGCAGAGAGATAAGAGGGTCAGGATAACGGATGGTACGACCATCATGGGTAACAAGGTAGGGAACACCCTTGGCGCCAGTGGCCACACGTCGCACTTGACCAAGCTTGTACTGCAAAGTCAAACAAGCAAATCTTAAAAGGAGCAAGCCCAAAGTCATATGTTACTCACCATAACTGACTACTTTGGACATGTGTAGCATTGAAACACAATCATGTGTAAATTTGTGTCACTTTGTGTCTGGATAGACAAGTGGATAAGTTCAAAGATATAAAATGAAACCTGTCAATATGCAGAGTTGATGGTCAAGTCCTGAACATCTTTTATCTCCCTTAAGCAAATATCAAATGATAATTTTTTTTCACTCATGTCTATTAGAGTAAGCAGCAACAGTTCAGGTGTACACAAACAACTCCTTCCTAAAGGCTCAATTTTTAGGAAGAGTTCATGGTGGTTGGCATAAATACAAATGATCAAAGAACAACTCAAGCCAAACTACAATTAAAGTTCCCTTTGTTTTTTAAAGAAAAAATCTTGCCAAATCTAAAGCTTGTATTTTATGACAGCTTGTTTCTCGTGCTATTTATAAAAGGGAGTATTTCTTATTCAAAGGAGGTTATTAAAAATCCTTGGATAGGCATATGTTATTGTGCAACTCACCTTGGCTTCCTCACCAGTAATGCGGTGAACAGTGAAGCGACCTTTCACATCGTACAACAGGCGGAAATTCTCACCAGTCTTTTCGATGGAGATGACATCTAGATTGTCCAGGGAAAAGAGTATGAGGCATTTATTACTTTGGGAGTTACTCTTCAACATGAAAATCATAACAGTACACTAATTGCCAAAATGAAATTTAGTATTGGCTGATCAATTGAGTTTATATCCTTAATTCAGCCATAGTGGATATTTACTCACCCTATGACAGCAAGCATAGCTTAAGAACTATTCAGTACCTTGTAATAATAGCACTGGAGGAAAGAGGTAATTTTACCTGGACTTAAGGTAGATCCCTAATTGCTAGTGTAGACAACAGGCATAAAACAACTGTATACTAGGAAATGTTTGTTTAAAAGCAAGAGGGGAAGGGCAGTAGTCTCATTATTCAGCTGTTAATTTTGGCAAGATCACAAGAGAATTATCCTGACCAATAAAATGGCAATATTTACAATCATGTAAAGATGAAATGAAGAGAACAAATTTCAACCCTCATAACTTCCTCAAATTTAAGTTTTCCATTTCTCCCCAAAATGAAAACATTTCTGAGGTAATGGGTAAAAGGCTTATTGCAAATTTTTTCTCTCGTAAATATATATATAAAGAGGAGTCTCAGAAAATAAACATTGGAATTGAACCACACCTCAACATTAGGATGTATATTGTCCATACTGTTCTCAAGTTCTGCTCAGGAGAATTTGATTAACAGTCAAGAGCTTCTTTAGTTCCTGATCATTTCCTTTATGTTTGTGACCTTAATGTTTGATTTAAGGATGATATTGGGAGAAATTAGATGCTCGTCACTCTTAAGGATTAAAGGGTTAAACCTCAGCTAACACAATAAACAAAGACATCTTACCCATAAAGCCAGCTGGGTAGGTGACATCAGTCCTGACTTTCCCATCAACCTTGATCAACCTCTGCTTGAGGATTTTTTTCACCTCATCATATGTGAGGGCATACTTGAGGCGATTCCTCAGAAAAACAATCAATGGCAAACATTCACGCAATTTATGGGGACCAGTGGATGGACGTGGTGCCTACAAAAAAACAAAATAATAATAATAATGACTGCATTATCTTTCTTGAGAATAGTTTTTTTTAATAACACAACTATAAATTCAAACAAAAACAAACACGTTTTGCAATAATTTTTTAAAGCTTTACAAAGTAAGAGAACTAACTGCCCACTGGTTGTCTCAATTAATTAATACTATAAGCACAAGCACAAAAATGAACAATTCTGATGGTTGTTTCTGTGCTTTGCTTGCAAACTAAGTATTCTCCCAGTGGAAGAAAAAAGTGTGCGAAAAGATAAGCGAAGCGACACGAGCAACACAATGTACTATTCAAATTCACTTTGAACGTTTAAATAATACTCATAAAGATTCCATTCCGAGATCAAATGTTTTGATCTTCTCTCACAACAACAAGAAGAACAGTTAGATGGAAGGACTTATCTTATCGAAATATGTATATATATCAACTTGTTGCTCTGACATTTGTTCTCTGTCTTAATTTTGGACAGCCTTAGATAAAAACCTATCTTCTTCAAGACTTCTATAAGTATGATCCAATATGAAGGTATTTCAAAAGCCATACTTACAAATTTACCAGACAATTTATCAAGCATCCAATGATGCGGTGCATTTAAGCGCTTTAAATGCTTCTTTGGACCCCGAGCCTGGAAAATAATACACCAGTACAATAGTTTAAGGATTGTTCTTCCCCTTCCAGATACTTTATTCCAAAAATTATGGCATGATTGACAACGATTGAATTGGATAGAAGATTTCACATCAAATTCACGATACAAACCATGATGGCGATGAGAAGGAAAGAGACCGCATCCCAGGATTCTTTGCGATTTGAATCGTCCTAC